GCTTGCACCTGGCATGGGCACCGTAGCCAGCCCGTGCCCCTTTAAGGGATCCGGGGCCGGGAGGGGGGCAGACGAGTTTCCCTGGTGTTGGCCAGAGTGGCCACCAGGGAAACCTGGGGAGGGCTAGCCTCCCACTAGTTCGAATTAAGGGTCTACACAGCCCTTAATTCGAACTAGTAAGTTCGAACTAGGCTTAATCCTCGTGGAATGAGGTTTACCTAGTTCGAACTAAGCGCTCCGTTAGTTCGAATTAAGTTCAAACTAACGGAGCGCTAGTGTAGCGCCTATGAAAGTTAGTTCGAACTAACGTCCATTAGTTCGAACTAACTTTGTAGTGTAGACATACCCTTATAGACCTATTTTTGGTATTAGGGACTGAATTATGTTTCACTCCACGTGCAATTTCAGCAGTGCTCTATAACACCTGGCATCTCTGGGCATGCAGCCCAATATTACATTGGTTTACTTTTGCTGTCACTTCGCATTGCAAATTCATGTCTCACTTCTTTCTGCTCTCACCTACATTGTCTTCAGCAATACTGATTTCTAGCTCCCTCCCTCCCTCCCTCCCTCCCTCCCTTTGTTTTATGGATCATTTCTTCCTGCTGCATTAGCATACATTTTCCAGATCAGATCTTCGGATGGCATGGTTGGCTGAATGCTAGGCAGATGTTATATCTGCATTCCCTGGGCCTGATTCTGCTTTCATTTACACCAGTCAGAATCAGGAATAATTTACTGAAGTCAATGGAGTGACACACCAGTGTAAAATTGGTGAGATCAGAATCAAGCCTCCCCTGGTTTTTTTTTAATCTAGTCATGTTATACAAAACATGAGTCCCATTTTAGGTGTCAAAGTGTTTTACAAATATCAGTGAGCTCAGTTTTACAAAGACCCTTTGAGGCAGATAAATGTCATCATCCAACCTTTCTACGGATGGTTTAACTGTGGCAGTGGGAAGGTCAAGGCTCAAGGATAAGCAGAAAGTCTCTGGCAGGAATGGCAATAGCCCCTAGATCTCCTAACTCTCAGACCTGTCCCCTAATCGCAAGACCATCTTGATTCCTCCTTGCTAAAAGTAAAAAGCATCACAGCTTTAGTTTTCTTTAGTTCTTTACGGTCATTGCATCACTGAAACCTCCAATAAGTCAGTATAGTGGTACCGAAGGAACTGAGGCACCTAGTTTAATTTTGCCTACAGTTCAGATTCTAATCTATATCTACTGTAAATCAGCCTCAAAAAATAAGACTTACCCTTTTTTAAGTGATTTTATCCATTTAGCCACGGTTTCTTTCAACAGAGCATCCTCCACTTGTTTCATTTTTCCTTCATCCGGCAAGATAAATAATGCTGTAGCATTTCCTTTGTAAGGTATTTCCACCAGCTGACAAGATAGCTCCTTATCATGGTAACTGTTATAACGGCCATCTCGGGTCATCATATTGACTTTAACTGATGTTTTCCCATCCACAAAAAAATCTGCTTCATGGGTGAGCATATCACTGAAAGGGTGTTCCCAGTAGGCTATAAAAGAATGTAGTTGACTATACTGTGAAAGAAGCTTTATTAGTATAAACCACACTAATTCAAGTATAATAAATCTATATTTACAGATTCAAAGGCACTCAAAGCCAATTTTCCTAAGGAGATTTTTGTTTTCAATAGCATAATGGCATTTATGTTGTGTTTAGACTTTGTATGGGCTTTTTAAAAGTCCTGATGAAAACCATGAAATGAAATTAAGTAATCCTTTTATTTTCTTTTAATCTGTATTTTTGAGGCAGATCCACACGAGTTGCTTTCTGACAATTTACAGGTAATTAATGAATCAAGGTTTTTTCACGAGTTTTCAACTGTTAGGACTATATTCACAAGAGGAATGTAGGTATTGCATCATTATTTAGGTTTTTGAAGAGAAAAAGGGAGCAATGTTTTCCTTTAGTGGTATAAGTGTCTGCATAGATAAAGCAACTGTTGTAATTTCTCCCATGTGATTTCTATAACAAATAATTTTACACAAACTCTCACAAGTTATATGCAGAATTCTTTGCCTTTCTAAAGCTCAAAGACTCTGAAAGAGCTTTAAAACTATTAAGGAACTAAGCTTCAGAATACCCCTGGGAATACTCTTGCCCAAGTACAGATGCAGAAACCAAGGTACAAGTGAGCTTATGCGACATGCCCAGGGTTATATAACCAGACTCTGAGCCCTGACCTACACTAGGGAGTTATTTCAAAGTAACTCCCCTTATTTCAAAATACCAAGTGGAGTGTCCACGCTACCAAGCCCGTTATTTCAAAATACCGGGCTGCTTATTTTGAAATAATAACTCCTGCTTTCCACGAGGAACAATGCTTATTTCAAAATAGTTATTTCAAAATAGCAATAGTGTGGACACTCTACTGCTACTATTTTGAAATAACTACTCCCTGGAGTCATTCAAAGTAATTACTCCCGGTGTTTCCTGGGGCTCTCTAAGTCAGGGCAGCATGTCCACATTAAGGGAGCCTGCTTCGGACTAATTTCAAAGCTTCCCTTTAGTGTGGACATGCTATTTTGAAATAGTTATTTCGGGAGTTGTTATTTCCAAACAAGTTATTTTGAAATCATTTCCTAGTGTAGACATAGCCTTACAGAGGTGCAACCAGAACTGCACAGTATTGGGGCAATGCCTGAGACATCCAGTCAGGTCAGGTCTTGCAATAAGATGATGGCCATGGTTACACTGTTTCCTAATTTACCTTTAAATCATAACTCTGTCACTGCCACACAGAGTATAAAATTGCCCCACGCTCTTGATAGGATTAACTAAAATGTTTTTACACAACTTTAACAAGATTTAAGGTGTTTGCTGTTCAGCTGAATACCATTTCATTTCAACAGGTTGATTTCCAGGCCTTAAAGCAAGCTTTTTATGTGTCCTGTATACTATTTGTACAACAAAGTACTGAGTTGCAAGTCTTCTACAGGTATCTGACAAATCACTACGTGAAGTTGCATTTCATATTCACATTCAAATTCGATTCCAGACATTGCAAGATTTGAAAGAAAATGTCCCTAATACTAGGTACATGGGAAAAAAATGAACATGTGCTGTTTTCTCTCTTTATAAAACAGCACAAGAAGTCAAAGAAAATCAGATAGGTGTATGGCCACCATCTCTCACCAGAATGAGAATATGTGCATGTGATTACAACATTTTGCAAAGAGACTTAAGACATTAATTTTCTCCTCATTCATATTAAATCATAAAATTAATGGCACAACAAATTTTTCAAACATGAGTACGTCAAGCCAGTCACAACTGCCCTGGTTTCCAGATATTCTAAGATCTGTCCCTGTTAACTTCAAAGGGAATCTAGCAGTACTAATAAAGTCACCACTTACATTTAGGGGCCTAATTATGACTTTAGGGACCTAATTTCAGACTTTAAGCCTTGAAATTTCATTTAATCGTACTGGGAAAGCTTTGCAGACATAATCATTTTCAATTTAGTTGATCTCGCAGGACTAAAAACCTGTTAAATTTTTAAAATGAGTAGAGATTTTTGAGTTTTGTTTCAGATTACAAATCAGATGCTGAAAATGTAATATTGGCAATAAGTAGCCATTGATATAACATGTCTTACCTTTAAAGTAAATATAATTGATGAGAACCATCACAGTGAGTGGATCAAGACCCTGGACCAAGTGGGCAATTTTCCCGTGGGTTTTCTTCTCAATGTAATCATTGATCTGTTTCTCAGTCTCGGCAGAATTTTGGAAGTTACTAGGAAGAGCTTCTGCTTCATAAAAGCTTTTCACATCGTCCAGAAACTTATCTAGCAATTTCAGCTTTTCATCCACAAAAAGGGCATTTCCCAGATTCACCTGGATTTCATTGTCAGGGTGGTTTAGCGAGTGAATAACATCACGAAAAGCTTCATGTATCTCCTGCTCCTCAATCTCTGTCAGGTTAAAGGCGAGTCCTTCCAGAATCTGAGTCAGAGTGGTTGATTTAGCACCTAGAGTCACCATGGCAAAAGCAGTGGAAATACTCAGAGGAGAGAAGAAAATATTCTTCTCTGCTGCATCTGATGTAACTTGCTTGTAGAACCTAAATGCAAAGTCAGCATTGCTAGCAGCTATTTTGCAACAAGCTGGTATTTTGCTTTTAGGATTTTCTTCAACCCTGGGATGATGTTCCTGGGTCTTTGTATCATCATGATCATCATGATGTTCAGGTTCATGATGACAATAAACAACAACAAGAAGTCCAATAAGAAATGAACACACATACAGGGTGGTCTTCATTTTCCTTTGGAACAACTCTATGAAGAAAGAATGAAAATCATTATATCTATGGAATAGTGTAATGAAAATTTGTGTTCATGTAAAACTAGGCCTAGTGAATTATTTTCCAGATATTAGTACAGGTTGCACATCTATAAACCAGAACTCTGGTCCAGCAACATATGTGGTCTGGTAGGTCCATGGATGTTCCAAGATCAGAGAGTACCAGCATGCTACAAGTGCAGGGAGGGGGGCAGCCTGCCTTGCTATAGGGGGGCTCAGGACCACAGTGC